GAACTGTTTCATGGACGGGGACGGGGTGCGGAGGGATGGAGGCGCTGCCCGCTCTTCTTCGCCCCCTTTCTCCACAGAAAGAATAAATTTTAGTACTTTTTTGTTTTCAAAGTCCAGCTTCCCAAGAACTAAATAAACTTGTCTGTTTTCTGGTGTCACTGTCTGAGTGCTCGGCAGAGAAGGAGCCAGCTAACTCTTGCCGTTATTGACCTGGAAGACGAAAATTAAGGCCTGAAGAGCTTTTAAAAAGGAGGCACCTTAACATTACAGCGACACACTCCTGAGGGCTTGGAGAAATCACAGGGACCGAACCGGAACGAAGATAAAGAGAAAGAAAAAATGCTTTCCGACTAAAACGGTCCACAAACTGCTACCATTCCCCACTCACCGCAGCGACCGAGGGCCATGTGGATGTGACAAATTCTGCTGATTACAACATCGGAGGAGTTTACGCTGATTATTAGCAACTTGTCTTAAGTGACCCACAGCAAATGCCTTTCCTGAGAACTGAATTCAGTTGGTAGAACAGTTACGAGGCTTTGAAACGCACCCTGCTGGGGAGTCACCTTTCCTTCCCAGTCACCTGTGCCTCAGGGGCCCTGCGGTTTGGCCCGGTCAGGCCCAGGTGGAGCAAAAAGTGGAGGTCGATTGCCTTTTGGACTGTGATGACCCAGCGCTCGGGAGCTGAGGCCCAGCTGAAGGAAACACAAAGCGGATGCCAAGACAGAGGTGTCGTGGAAGAGTCCGGATCAGCGGGTGAAGACAGTGGCTTCTGAAGGTTCCAGAGCTGGACGGACACCTTTAGACTGGAGGGACGGCTGCAGGAAGATGACACCGAGAGCTGACTGGAACTGGGGACTGAGGGGTCCCCGGGCGCACCGCTGAGGTCCTGAAGACACCACACGCGGTGCCGCTGTGGGAGGCGGAGCATCAGGTTTTTGCCAGGAGCTCCTCAGACTGCCTGCCATCTGCTCACTCGTCGCTCTCGAGTTGCTGAGTGAACTCCGTACGTTCGTTAGTGATTCCTAATCCTCACACTTCTTTCGTGAGTGAGAAAACGAAATTACAGAGAGAGTAAATGAGGTGAATATGGTCACACAGACCGGAGTAGGATGATGGGACACTGCCACCTGAAGTGCCCGCATCGAATATCTCTGAGCGGGTACAGAGAAAATGCACTAACTGTAGTGGCCACGGGTAAGGGGAGTGGGGGTGGCGGGGGAGGGAAGCAGAAGCTTACGCCTCACTCTTTGTACCTGGTACGGTTTGTACTATGTGCACCCACTACTTATACCCCAAAATATTCAATTATAACAAAAAGTTCTCAGAATGTAAGTAGGTGCCATCTTACCTCCTTCCCACCCTCTACCCTGCAGAGGCTGAGTGGCCGCTGGTCACTCAAAATCTTACATATGTTGGCAGGGGTGGCAGGAAAATTATACAGTCTTCGGTGTACCCGGTGTGTGTGTGGGGGACGGGGGAGCCGCTAGGAGTTTGGCAGCACACTAGGGATACTGTGACAAGGTAAATGGCACCATGAGAAAACAGCCAGGCAAATCGGAATGAAGGACACTCTACAAACAACTGGACTCTCAAGAGAGTGACCGTTATGAACAGCAAAAATGGTAACAGTAGGGGTGATGGCTGTTCCAGATTAAAAGAGGTTAACAAGATATTACAACTAAAAATAATGTTGACTTTGGGCTGGATACGGAATTGCAGGAGGACAAACAACTAGAAAAGATGCTTTTGGGGTAGTTGGGGAAACGTGAATTTGGATGAGATATTAGAAGATGTTATGAAATTATTGATAATCTTCTGAGATGTAATGATGTTACCGAGGTTGTGTGGAGAACATCCTTACTCATGGGGGAAGCGTAACGAAGTATTCAGAGGTGAAGCATTCAGGCGTTTATGATTTTCCTTTAAACAGTTCGGGGTGGGGGTCGAGGGTATATGTTCAGAGAGAAACATAAAGCAAATGAGAGAAAATATTAACCACTGACTAGTCTAAAATGGAGGCGTATGGATACTCGCTGTGCTCTTCTTCCAACTTTTTCATAGGTTTAAATTTTTTCAAAGTAAAAAGTGGGGAAATCAAGGAAAAAGTTTAAAAACAAAACGAAATAACAGCAAAGGGAAAACAAGCAAGAGTCCTGGGCTCCATCCTAGCCTTCCAGCTCTGGGGAAGGTCCTTGGTGTTTCTGTGGGAATGAGGAAACTGGAGTAAACGGCCTGTGAGGTGACCTCGGCTCTGATGTCTAGGGACATGATGAGCGATCTATAGGGACAGGATGCGCTCGTGCCTTCCCTGTCCTGTCCCCTCTCCTCCCGCTCCAAGCACTCCCTTCAAGGCCACTTTTCTTCAAAGAGCTTGTTTTGTCAAGTCTTAAGGTGTTTCCTTTTGTGGGAAAGATTTTAATGCGCTGGTTCCATAAGACTTTCTAGGCTCTTAAAAAAAGTTCCAAAGGGACTATCTTTTGTCGATGGGAGGGGTACGTTTCTAAGTACAAGAAAACGCACAAAAACAAAACCAGTGATGTTCCATCTGTTAAAAAAATCTAATAGCTTAAAACAATGATAAGGCTGCTTCAAGTCTTGAAAAAAGTTTAGTTTTTCTTGGTATCTTGCTATAATTTCTTGCTATGAATACATGGCTCACTTGGCCATCATATATGACTATGGTTATCAATATATCTGTGGTTTCACTGATGAAGACTCAGGAAATTCTTTATATGGTTGTGGCAACTGAAGAGATTGTCAGCAAAACCCTGCTTTAGGGACAATGGCCCGAAGGGGAGCCGCACCGTTCCGCCTCTTCCTGCAGGTCTCTCGCCATTGTCCTACCTGAATTAGTACTTTTTAGACCCTCCCTTACTAGGCCAGAGGCTCGAGGATACCTAGCAAGGGCTCAATTAATGTTCGTAATTTTATAGAAATCCAGCACCTGATACAGCAATAATTAGTTTGTAACTGTCAATCAGAAACCAAACAACGTCTTGTGAAATGCTGGTTTCCTTGATGTCGTTTCTTTTTTGTCCGACACGTTCAGTTTCGTTAAAAACAGTTCTTCCTGATGAGACTTTCAATGGTGAGAACTGGACAAACGTGAATCTCTACACACTCCGCTGTGTGAGAAGCAACGGCATATTCAACATGCTCTGTGGTAATCACGCCGTCCACCTGCAGGCCGTTAGCATGGCCCCCTGTTAGCTTTGTCACTTCCGCCCTCTGTCTGATGCTTTACCCGGCCCTAGGGAGCTGTGTCAACCAATTTCTTGATTAACTCCTAACAAAGCTTTCTAAAAACCCAGAAGAACTGGTTTCCATATAT